AATAAGGATCTGAGAGGCCTTTTCCCCCCTTCCAAAGCATGTCCAGCATATCACTGGCATTTGAGACATACCGTTTGGGGTCGCCGTCCTAAGAAGAGGATGCATAAAATGGTCTTTCTGAAAGGCCTCCCAGGGGAGGCGCCAACCATTATGCTGGTCAGGTTACCAAAAAGTTAGTGGTTCGAAGCCACCCAACAGCAATGGGGAAGAAACGGGGCAGGCCTGAACATCCTCTTCTGTCTCCGTCGAGATTATCCAAAGCCATAACGCACTGTGTCTCCCAAGTTACAAAGCGACAGCAGTGAAAGTCCTCCCAGGCCCATAATGCAACTGCAGGTGTGTCATGCCGAAACGAGGGCTTCAGGAATGGGGAGACTGAGGCCCAGGGAGGGTACACGGCAACATGAGAGAAGGGCCCAGGAAGCAGGACTGGGGCCTTTCACCCCCGAGCTCGGCCCTCGGGCAGGGAGCCGCTCCACTTACCCCAGTGCCGGTGAATATGCTCCCGGCAGATGCGGACTTGGCCCCCTGGAACTCGAGACCTAACATCCTGAGGTCGGGGGCAGAGCCGTAGCGCCGCGGGGGGGAAGGCTTGGAGAGAGCCCCACGGGGTTCAGGCTTCGGCGCCTCCTCCTCGAGGCCGCTGTCCGCTTCGGTTTTCTTTGGGTGACTGACCACGGAGAGTGGTTCAGGTGTGCGGGACACCGAGGCCACGGGCTGGGAAGGAGGAAACCAAACACGTGGCCTTTGGGAACCCAGCTCTATCCATGTCCGTAATCATCTGCTCCCAAGAGCGGGTGCGAAGGAGACGCGGAGAAGGAGGAAAGCGACTGGGACCCGCGTCTCTGTCTCTCTAGGCCGGGGCTCCGGGGCCCTGAGAGACTTTAGAGGCGTCTGTGAGCCACTGGAAATGGCACTTTCAAAATTGCGTGTCTGTGAACTTGGTGGCAAGAGGTGCCCCACCGCTTTGATCAGATTAGCGCAGGGTCTGGAGCCCTAACAAGTGACGACCAATGAATTCATTGTACCCCGACAGAGTGAGTGAAATCTTGGAGGAAAAGGAGATGGATTCAAAAGTCAGCTGAGGCTGTCCACGGAGCTGGGAAAGAGAGCCAGACGGGACAGGGAAGAAGCCAAAGACAGCTCCCGGAGGCAAATGCCTCGCTAGGTTAACTGGAGAACCGCCTGCAGCTTGGACCAGGCAGGCCAGGTACCCCGGGGGAAGATGCTGAGAGGTCCACCTTCTAGAAGCTCTTGCCAGCGGCCTGTGCTCACAGCTGTGGCCTGGCCTGCTGGCTTCCTGCAAACGGAGCCAGAGGCTGGGATCACGCTGTTCTGGCACCTTCCTCCGTGGGGACTGCTCAGCCTCCCCGGAGGGGCCTGCTGCTTCTACACTCAGATTGGAGGAGGCAACCGGGACAGACGAGGGCAGAGTCCCCTACTGCCGGCAAGGAAGGGCCCCCCGACAGACACGGGGCTCTGCACACCCTCTGGGCAACCCCTCCTGTTGCTCAGCACCCCGTGCAGCCTCGCTCTGGCAGTGTGTCCGGGCCCTCAGTAGTGGCCTCCTTGGCACCCCCCCACGAACTGGCCCCAGCCGGGGAAGGGTGTTGGGGATGCCTGCTGCCCTCCGATCCAGGTTTACTTGTTTGGAGGCTTGGGGGGTGACCTCAGGCTGCTGCCGTTGTTTCTGCTTGGAGCTCCCCGTGTGCTTGGCCCGCGTTTGCTCGCCCACCGATTCCCCTGGCACCTCCGTCTTCTTCTCTTTGGTTCGGGAGGCTCTTTTCTCTTGCTTGAGTCTCAGCTCCTGGATCAGCTGCCTGTTCATTGAGGAACAAGGGAGTGTCTGTCATGTGAGTGAGGCAAGGGCTACAGATGCAAGGAATTACCCTTGAGAGATGGACAGGTCGGGAGAGAGACAGGAGGGGAGAGGCTCCCAAGTGTCTCAAACACCCTTCCCCAGCGTGTCCACAGGCACTGGTGACTGATGGCCAAAGAGCAGGGAATAAAGAGTCGGGCTGTTCTCAGTATGGGGAACAGCATCCGAGGCGAAGTGCACACAGCCCTTTAACACAAGTCCTCTGCCCGCTTCCCAGTAGGCCCGTTCTCACATATGCCAATTGAGATAGTTTATTGTGCCAGCCTGGCTGATAGACACAAGTGGGATTAACTGAAGGGCAGAGAGATAAATGGCTTGGTGAGCCTCGTCTTTCTTGTCTCTTACTCTTTGATCATCAGACCGGTGTGCGGCTGACTTGCTTGTTCTGTGCCTCAATTTAAAGGCTACACTACCTGTGGGACGCCTAGCCTGTGGACTGTGTCGCTGTAAGTTGAGGTCCCTTTAAGACA